AATCAGTCCCACTAAAATATTAAATATTAATTTCAGTGTTACTTGCCACATTTATCATTTGATAGACACTGTAATTAAGATAATGAAGTTTAAATGCATAAGTAGTTCTATTTAAAGCATTGCTGCTGTGGAAGAGATTTTTTTTTTTTAATGGCAGCTTAATTAAATTAAGTGTTAAAGGTTTATGCTTTGTCATCAAGTCTTTTTGTAAACTTGGACCACTAGCTCTCATGTGTTTTTTTTAAAAAAAAAATGTGATTCTTACAATATACACTTGCCTTTATTACTGTTAGGCTAAAAATTGTGGTGTGAAGTTATCAACCAGGGTTTTTTCCTCTACTCAATGACATTCATCAAAAAAAAGAAGAAAACAAGAAGTTGTTCACACAGTAATTTTAGTTATACTATTTCATGTGTCTAGACAACATGTTATATCATCTGCAAATCGTAAATGTGATCTCTTTCTACAGTGAACGTATGATAATTGTATTTCATTCAGTTAACACAGAAGAAACTGTCCCAGGCTATTGTCTGGGGTCCATTTTTTCTTTCTTTTTGTCTGTAACCTTCAGAAAAGATGTGACATTAGTGTGTTGGGAAATGTCTGAAGATAAATACAGTCTTTCAAATTCATCTGTAGCTTCATCACTCCTCCTTTATCTCTTCTTGGGTACCACCCTCATAGTCCCATCCATCTCTAATTTCAGGCTTTCAATTCTTTTAATTTCTGTCTTTTTCTCTTCCTCCTCCGATGCTCCTGCCTGTTAGTCTGCTAAGGGCAGAGCAGTAGAGTTAAAATGTGAGGTTGGTACTGAAACGGGTAGATAAAGAGAGCGAGGCTGTAGAATATAAGTGGTTTCATTAAAAATGGCAAAGTGCCTGTCCTTTTTTTTCATAGTTATATACTCCTTAAATGTCACTAATTCCACCTTGCCCAAACCATTTGCCTTCACGATCATGACCAGGGTGAAGAAATTCTATTGTTGCTTGAAAATAGGCAGCTCGTGTGAGAGTCAGTCAATAACATCCCCCTTGGGAGGGTGTCAGAAAAAGAAAAAATAATGAGTATGTTTCCTGTGAGTGAGTTTTTCACCTCTTTCTCTCTCTCTCTTTTTTTTTTCATTTTATTGTTGCACTTACATCTGGAGAGACAAAGATGAGGAAACTTTTAGGGTATACAAAAAAGGGTTGCAGGGGCATATGCTGCCCTCAGGCCCTGAAAGTGAGACTTGTCTAGTAAAACACACCAACTTCCTTTGAGTGCGCTTGGATTCTTTGGGTTTGGGGGTGTAGATAATCAAACTTAGCCCACACACGATAACTTGAATACAAAGTGTCTATGATTGATGTAGCATAAGGTAAGATGTGGTACGATAGCTGCGCAGGGTTTGAGGCATAAACAACTGAGACGAGGCCATTAAATGTACACGGGGTGTAACAGACCAGAACTAGATTAAACGATCTGGAGAGGAACAACATGCATTCATCTTAATCATTACTGATTTGTTGGTGCAATACAAGTTATAGTTGTAGTTCTAATTTACAAATCCAAATTTAGTACATAGATGTTGCATCAGGCCATCTGGGTTGCTAGACCTCTATTTGGATTTCAATTTGTGCTTCATTGAAGCTTCTTTTATTCACTTGAGTCAAAGTGCATTATCACCAGTACAGTAAAAACAAAACTGTTATTTCCCAGTTTTGATCACTGTCTTTAGAGCACTAAAAATTAATTAGGTGATTTATAGATAGACACCACGCATTGCACCTGAGTGATGAAGCTCATACTGAATATTGTATTGGGGGAGCTTTAATGGGGATAATAGAATATACATGAACTGTTAATGTGGAGACAGAGATACGCATTTACAGTGGCAATCATTTAAACCGAAAGCAGCAAGAATCCTGGCACATTAAATGATTCCTTCTTTGCGATGCACCCAAAACAATTTCTCGCCTGAGTAGGCATACTTGCTTGTTCTGCAGTCTGATTAAGCTGACTCTCGGTCACGGAAGAGACAAGGGAGGCTCTCTGTGTGATCTGAATGCTCTCACCCCCTACTTTAAGACCATCCATTCCCTCTCGATTTAATAACAGTCATCTGTAAGGATAATTGTGAGATTGATCTCGACATGCATGGGGTAAATGAGATCCATTTGTTAGATTAGTGTTTGTTCTGTAAAATCGCTTCTTGAAGATGCAGGGAAAAAGTTGCCACTGCCGTCAGCAGTTTCAAACTTTGAATAAGAAAACTGTGTAAACAGAGCAATTCAAATAGCTATCAGTATATTCCAGATTTTTGGAAAATAGATGCACATACTCACTGACACACAGATACACACAAGGTCCCACACGTAATACCAGGATATGACCTACAACTGACTAAGCAGAGGGGATGCAGGATTTTCTTTTAGTACCTCCACTCAAAATTGTCGCTGAAATCTTAAATTACTCTTTATATTTGTGGATAAAGCTTAAATGAATGCTGATCAGTGATCACACCCAGTTAGTCCTAATAATAGTCTGACGGGCCAATTCTGGAAAAGATGAAGAACACAATTAGAGATATGAGTGACCCCTTTATATGATGAGATCATTTGAAAAACAGAAAAACATTGTTTATCAAAGGCATTAGAGAGGCATCAAATATCACTCTTGTACATAGTGTAAAATTCAGTTTCTCCTGGAAAGCAGTGTATTCCTTTGCTCATATCAAAGACCCTCTTAGAAAGGCTTAAACTTGAGAAAGTGTGTGGCTCCATTTGGTGGACAGTGTAACATAATGTACTGGATTTGATATAATATCTATTAAAAGGAAAACTTCCACAGCACTGCTTAATTGGGCAAGTTGTGAACATTTTAGGGCTCTGTGCTGTTCTGTAAAAAACTAACTCAAACCATGGTTCAGTAGCTTGTAGAACAATCTTTAGTGGCAATAACCTGAAGCGATCTTTTTCTGTATGACCTCATCACTCTGCCACATCGTTGTAGAGGAATTCTGGCCCTCTATTCTTTACAATGTTGTTTAAATTCACTGAAATTTGCAGACACTTGTTTATTAACAACTCTAAGGTCTCACTAATGCTCATCAATCTTGTTGATTAAATGCAGTTTAATTGGGTTGAGGTCTGCACCTTCCCTGGGCCTTTTTCAGCCATTCTATTATAGATGTTTTGTTATATTTGGGGTCATTGTACTGTCACATGACTCTGGCTATTGGACAGATGGCATCACATATGACTCTGGTATGACTCTTTGGTAAACTGAAGAGTTCATGGTTGACTCGATGACCTCAAGGTGCCCAGGTCCTGTGGCAGTACTTGACAGTTGGTATGACGTATTTGTGCTGATATACTGTGCTCTTTTTTGCACTGTGCAGTGGATTATGGCCAAACATTCCCACTTTGCTCTGGTTTGCAAAAGGACATTATACCAGAAGTCTTGTGGCTTGTTCAGATGCAATTTTGCAAACCTAAGTTATGTTGCCATGTTCTTTTTAGAGAAAAGAGATTGTAAAGTTTGTGATGTAGTTCATTGATTGTGACATTGTTTTATCATACACTCAAAAAAGATGTATGTTCATACTTGCAGATGACCAATTAATCAAGTTCATTTGTTTAGCAGCACCTGGCTGCTACATATCCTCTTAATTTCTATGGAAGCAATAGGGTTAGCTTTCACTGGACTTCACAGAGTTCTATGAAAACGTTTTTTTTTTAACTATAGGTAGCAAAAAGATCTCTGCATCAATAAAGAAAAACATTTGAATCCCATATTACTTTATCAATAAAATGTTCATATAAAAAATCATTGTGGTCATTTTTCCGTACCATTTGAACTTACTCATGCTTGAAGTTTGTCCAGAAAAGGCACAGAGGAGTGCTCTAAGTTAGCGGTCCCCAACCCCCGGGCCATGGACTGGTACCGGTCCGCGGCCTGTGAGTCGCTTGGTACCAGGCCACGAGTGTTGAGACTCACATGTGAAATTTATGGTTTTCAGGGTTTTTATCGTTATTTTTTAAATCATTTTTATCGTTAACTCTGTTTCCCTGGGTTTTTTCCTGTGTGTTATGAAGAAATCTTTTTTTTTTTGGTACCGGTACTGGGTTTTATTTTGTTGTATTTATCCGCGACACCTTAAAGACCGGTCAGTGAAAATATTGTTGGATATAAACCGGTCCGTTGTGCAAAAAAGGTTGGGGACCGCTGCTCTAAGTTCATGTCTGTAAATCACAATGTTGAAGCCTAAACCAATGTTTAGTAATATTTATTTCATGTCTGCATTGAAATAACCTTCAGTTTTTTGTGAAGGACTAACATTTGGGATATTTGATATTTCTGTATCCAAAATCTTCTGGAATGTCTGTGAAGTCTTAAGTCATGGAGCAAAGGTGATTTTGAGGTTGTGGTGATTCTGGGCACATCATGCCAGAATTCCCTCAATTTGCAGACATGGATAACAGATATAATGGGAAAGTTCTTATAATCCTATTGCATAGTCCACTTGAAACACTCATATGTAGTTGGTGCCTTCATAGTGCAGGTAGCACAGAGTCACACTGAGAGGTCACACAGAGGTCTTCTTGGAGCCTTGTATTCACTCTTTGTTGATGAAATTTACATCAATCAGACCCAAGCACATATAAATTAGAACACTAGTGTTTCACTTCCAGGGCACTTCAGATTAGACTTTCAGGGATGAGCCACTCAATCTGTTAACAGTATAATAATGTGAAGACACATTACAAAAGTAATATGTTATTTCAGTCAGATGCCACTTGAAGCTCGCTAATTATAGAGATATTTTGATAAGCCTAAATGTTTTCTTTATGACAGCAACAGACATCAAATGCCATGTTTACTTTCCACCACAGATACTCTCGGCTCCTGTCCAATGACAGGCTGCAGCTACAACTATCTAACAACTCCCACATGTACCCATACTCACTGCCTTACTCTCTCTTTCTCTCCATTTTGCACACAAACACACAGAGCAACACGCAGGCTCCAAATGCTTTCTATTTTTGTGATCATAATTATTTGATGACAGGGCTTCTGGTTTCGCAACCACCCTTTTGTGCACTCGATCTATCTGTGAATAATTTAGCACTGAGAGCTAGAAAGGTGGGTCCCTTAAAACAGCAGGTACAGGCAAACTCTGGAGGCAGGACACACACAGAGAGAGAGCATTGCCATCCTATCTTTGTCATCCGCCCACTCCTTACTTACAGCTCTTTAGTCCGGCTGCTGTGCTTCCATCGAGCTGTTTGTTAATCCAAGTTTGAATTTATCCATCCTTACAAACAACCCTTCAGCACAGCAGGCTCCACGGTGTCCAGCTCGAAGAAGGTAAGGAGCTCATTGGATGGAGTGACCCCCTTTCTGCATCCACTCTTCAATCAGCCATCATGGAGGAACTCCAGAGAAAACTGAATCAGCGCTATGAAGACACCAAGCCAAGAAAGGTGAGTTCTTATGACACCACTTTATTTTGAAATTATAGGTTTCACCGTTTTAAATGTTTCAGAGGAAAAGACTTGTTAAGGTCATTTCAATTATCAAGCCTCCTCTTTCTCTCTTTTTTCTAAACAATTGCAAAACTATTAGCAGGTGATTTTAAGCACATAGTTAAAGAGCTCTGTTTGCAGCTCATGTTGTCAAGCTGCAAATAGAGAATGACGCAGGACTGTTGATGTGTGTATTATCATTCTGCAAATATTTGCACACATGGTCAAATACCATATTTTTCTGCTTATGAACCTACCTATATTCTTTTTATTTATATAGCCCCACTCACAGCAACAATCACCTCAACGTGCTTTGTGCTATAAGATAAAAGAAACTCTACAGTTACTTGTTAATCACTCATTAGTTACTAATTAATGCTTTTGGTGTGACAAGCAACAACAAGCAGTGGAATCAAAGATGTCACCTTCCACTCCAAACTGCAGGTGAGGTTCAAGCTGGCATCATCCTACAGTGGCCGAGTGCTGAAGCACGTGTACGAGGACGGTCAAGAGCTGGACAGCCCCGAGGAGAAATACCCTCACAGCTTTATCCACCGCAAAATCCCTCCCAGCCACCTCGAGATGGAGCAGCTCTGCGGGTTTGAGGACACTCATGGAGACCAACAGAGTGGGTTTTTACTTTATATGCACGGTTGCCCTTAGGATTGTTTGTTTGGGCAGTACTGCATGTAAACTGGGAGCAGGCAAGGCAAGCAAGGTGTAGTAGTTTGCATAAAGTGATCTTTTTGTTCCACCATTAAAGTAAAAACATGCACAGTTAATCCAGTAGCATGAATCCAGTACCATAAAATGAATTTAAAGCCCATTTTGATGTTGGTGACCGAGATGATTATTTGACTGCCTAATCAATGTATTTAAAGGTACTGTGTGTAAAATTTCCCCCCTAGATGTCAGTAGTTTCAGTCAGCTGAATTCTCTTTTCTTACCCTCCCAGTTCAAATGCATAGTCCTAACTGTAGCGGCTGCTGTAGTGCAGAATTCTCTGGCTGCTGTTCATCTGTAGTGATCGTAAGGTGTCAGTGTTACCTTACCTGCAAATATGCCAGGTGTCCACTTCTATTTGCGCTGGAGGAGGCTGTAAAACTTTATAAAAGGTGTACAATACAAGTAGATGAAGCTCATTTCTGTCTCATGACAGTGATACTGAACTGAGTTGTTGAGAATATCCTGAACGTTTATGTTGGTTAGCATTGTTGGTTTTGCTGCTATTAGCTGGCGTTAGTAAAACTCTTTTTGAAGTGGAGCTAACAATGTGGGACTCAAACACTTAACAAATAAACTCTCATATGATCTGAGAATGTAATCACACTATTTATCAGAGGAAAAGTGTGATTATTTTTAGGACACTCAAGTTTAAAATTAGCTGGTATAATAGGAGTTTATAACCAGCTAATTACTTGATCAGTCAGCTGTTAGTCATCTGTTTCTTGCTTGATGATCTTGAAGCTTTATGCAGGTCTACTGTACACTTCTCTAAGTAGATTTATGGTCATTGATTAAATGAAGTATCTTCATCTTTGATTGTACTTTACATAAATTTAGATATTCTAAATTTATAAATTGTATTGTCCTATTTCCATCTGTCTCAGTCTGTGGCTGAAAGAGTTGTGCCACATGTGTGAATTCTGCACGGTCTACTGGTGGCCATCTACATCAGAGGGCAAAAGAATTGCAACAGATGGCAACAAATGCAGTATTTTTCACAGCCGACTGCTGTATTATCACAAATAGATTGGGGAAATCAGATAGCAATCTGAACCCATCTTATTGCCACTTTATCAGCATTTTATCACTGTTTTGATGCAACAGAGTTGGTTTGAAGAGGACAACTGACTAGAGTGGCCTCAAGCCTCGTCTCCCTCTTCAAAGCGACCATTTCAAAGGCAGAGCGATTGCAAGTTGATTGGACACGGTCGCAATATTTTAAGTGTTCCGCAACTTATCCACACCCAATAAGAAAAACAGCTCTAAGGAAATGGACTCTACCACTTTGGATGTCTTTTGCTGGTCCACACTCCCACCAGCCGCTTTGGATACCACTGTTTATAGGCTTGGTTTCAGTAGTTGGCGTGATCACTGCACATCGATGTGTTAGAAATAGAGCACATGCTGTTGCTACAGATGAAAACTGCACTTGAGTCTGTAATACTGTATACAAGTTCTCACTCTAGCCTGACAACATGTTTTATTCTGTACCCAGGTGTCTATCCTCCAACAGGGCTCATAGCCCAGAGAATAAATGTATATAGAGGAATGGGCAGCTACAAACCTGCCGTTGGCCAGACTGAGGAAGGAGAGGGAGACAGCAAGGTAAAAATCCAGAATTTGATATTATATTTTAGTTGAGTTATTGTAGGTTTTTCACTAACAGTGCCAATTATATATGTCTGTTTTTCTCAAAATTTTAAACACATTGTTTTCAGACTTCATTAATTTAAAGAACTATATGTTTGGGCATGAATTGTGAGGCTAGGAATGTGCTTTATGCATAGGTCTAGGCTAAGGTGTCAGATTTCATGAAAGGTGCTTCATTTGTAACATAAGAAGAAGTCATGAGAAAAAAAAAAGAAAGATTCTTTCAGCTGCTCCTTTTGCAAGGGGTTGCATATTTGATTTGCACAGATTTTTTATGCCGGATGCCCTTTCTGACGAAACCCTCCCAGGCATTCGTGTCTTCTCCCTGATCCTGAGCTGGGAAACTTAACTGCTAACTGTTAACTGCTGAACTACAGATTGTTTTCCAACTTACAAATAAATCATATATGACAGTCAAGATCAATGCTTTACTCGCATATACAAGTAAAACATTTACTTTTGACTCACTGACTTGTTGCATCTTACAGCATATGGTAAACAAGATAGTTATTCATCAGCGTCACGTTTTTGAGCTAGAGAATACCAGAGAAAAGGCTTTGACCTCATCTTTGATCGTTCTAAGTTTGTGTTGTACACTTGCTACATAAGGACCTGTAATTTGGGTCTAAGTCAGTTTAAAGGGTTGAGAAAACACAGAAGTCAGTGTGACTGCTTTTAATCTTATGGACTACTGAAAGTCGTGAAACTGTAACTGTTTGGTTTGTACATTAATCTGGGTGCACTCCATGCTATGGCATGACAAGTTTTCAGTCAATGGCTCTATGGGAATCACACTGTTGGTGCAGAAATGCTATGAAACTTTGTTAGTTTTGTTTAAAAAGAAATGGTAACTATGCGTGTTTTTTTGTGCTAGCACATCAGTTATCTGTGATGTGTAGATACAACACCACTTAATCTCTTAAGCAGCATGCTCTTTTTTATTAATTAATATAAGTGTTTAGTGCCTTTTTATTTTCACTGCTGTCTGTGCACTGTAAACTGGTGTTTACTGGTTTTGTCATGTCATTAGCAAGAAATGTGAACAATTTTGTAGCATTTTTTTTTAATGCAGTGGCATCTGTGCTGCATGTTTTCTGCCACCCATCATTGCTGTTATGCCACACATGGCAGTTAAAATGTGTTTATATGCGAACTGTATATAATTGTTCAAGGTTTTGCCAAAAAACAAGATTAATTCAGTAAATACGTTTTGGACACTGTCCATTTGGTTCTGATAATTCAGATTTTGTAAATTCTGAAAGACTCTAATTCACTTGTCAGTTTAAATGAGCTGGAACCAAAACAGTCAGTCGCTATTAAGAGTTTCATGAACGATTTAGTTAACTTTTATTCTCAAAAAAAACATACTGGCAACGAAATTGAGTCATTAGCATCTCAATGATGCTTTATGGAAAGCATAAAGTGTCATTGTTTCTCTCTGCATATAAAATGAAAGCACTGATATACAGACACTTAGGGTTACAGTGGAACAGTGTGTACATAAAAAAGAGGCTGGCCAGTATCAGCTGTACCAGGTGATATTCAGATTGGTCCAGATTGGTATATGAAACAGTATACAATGCACAAACAAATACTTTGGGTTTGTAAAAGTTTTCTCATCACATTGTTTTGCAATAACCATCCCTGTCTACAGCATATACTGTATATCACAGCACATCACAGCTGACCAAATATCAAGGGTTGTCTCCCTGGGCAGTTCGTAGCTACTTTGTGGCATATACTGTAGTGGAAGCCTGATAACTTACATGCATCAGTTGATTTAGAATAATACATTTATAGTTTTGGCAAATACACCATCTGGATTTAATGATAGCAATTATCTGTCTTCATTAATAGTTTTTTTTATGTAAGAAAACTAAAAATCATTTTTGACAAGGATAAATGCCAATCAAGACAAAAACTAATGTTTCATAAACTTAATAAACTCTTAAACTCATAAACTCTTAATCGCACTTTTCTTATATTTATGTGCCACCCAATTATTGAACTTTTTTTTTTTTTTTTTTTTAGATTTTCTGTCATATGAAAAAGAGTTTTCATTGTAGATGCTTGTGATTAACTGTGACCACCTCTGTGAAAGCAGAAGATTTCTGCTCTGGAGCATTCAGGTGTGTAAAAAAACAATGCAGACTTCTCAACAAATTTAGCCCAAAGTCAGACCACGCGATGCTAAAAGAAATTGCAAACACCAACGAGCTATACCGCAGATTTTACAGATTTGAGCTAGCAATTAACTAACACAACTACTTAATTTCTAATATATTTGGTTTAATGAGTAATCTTGAGTTCTATATTATGCAGATCAAGATTTTTTTGTTTTGTTTTTACACTGTTTACATGATCTTCTCAATATGTTTTATGGCCAGTTGTCACACCTAAAAACTAATTTCAGTGATTTACACTATACACTATACACTATACACATGCATAGTAAGAGTCCATGTACTGAAAAGCAAGCAGACACACCACAGTAAAGCATTACACAATTATCAGTGAATGCAAAGTTATGTAATAATTAATTTATGGCTACACAAAAACAAAACATACAATCCAGATTTAAAATATGAAACAGGGATCTTAGGCAATTAGAACATCAGCTGCATGCTGCTCAATGAAATTTGTGCAACAAAAGCAATAAAATTGTTAATCTGACTGAAAAAAGCATTTTTACTGAGCCTGCTGCACTTCATTAGTGCAGCAGGCTAAAAGGGAGGTCAGCCACATATCCTGCTGGCTTGATGTCAGTTTCATTCCTTTATCCTACCAAACAAAGGAATGCTTGGCCCTGGTCACCAAGTCAGTATTTAGCACATTTATCAGTAGAGAGCAGCAATCTGGAGTTAGCTTATCCTTTTAGGCATTATTGAAAGGATGGCACAGTGGTTCTACAGAGGTCCCTCACCTAACAAGGTTTAATGGTAATTCTAGGCTGCATTATTTTAGGGTTTCACTCTCAGTTTTAAAGTAAGAGAGATACATTGAATCAATATGTTTCTTTTATTTTGCTTGTATATTTTTCAAATTTTCATATATATATATATATATATATGTGTATTTTTTTTTTTTTTACATCATCCTGAATACTACAGAGAGTGTGAATATGAGTCTGGATTCAGTAAGACATCCCTGCATAATAAGATGAAGGTTGCCAATCTTCTCTGGTTGCTTTGTTCCCACAGAAAGCAGCCATCAAAATAACAAAGGGTTAAATGTAATGAAGAATTTAAAAAAAAAGCTCTAAAATAGACACGGTGAAGATGACCTCGAACCTTGAACCGGATGGTTTACAGCAGCAGAAGACCACACTGGGATGCCAGTCATGTCAGCTGCAAACACAGAGTCTATTTTCGCGGTTCTCCAAAACTGTGCAATAGAAGATTGGTCTGATGGGTCTCGATTTCTACTGCAGCATCCGGATTATAGGGGTCAGAATTTGGCATAACCAAATGGGGGTGGTATAATGGTATGTGGGGTTTTTTCTTGGCATAATTTGGGATCGTTAGTACCAACACCACAGCCTACCAGAGTATTCTTTCTAATTATGTCCATCAATGGCACAGTGTATCCATTTTCTGATGACTGCTTCCAAGAGTATAGCATAAAATGTCACACAGCTCAGATCAACTCAAACTGGAATCTTAAACATAGAGTAACAAGGAGTTTGATATATTCAAATGGCCTGCACAGAAACTAGAGCCCAGTCCAACAGAGCGAATAGGATTTGCATCATGAATGTGCAGCTGACAAATCTGCAGTGACTCTGTGATGCTGTCAGATTAATATGGACCAAAATCTCAGGGGAGCGTTTCCAGCACTTTGTTGAATCCATGCCATGAAGAATAAAGGCGTTCAGAAGGTAAAAGGGGGTCCAAGCAGATACTAGTAAGGTGCACCTAATTAAGTGGCCAGCGAATATAATGTATATAAAAAGTATCAGTATTTGTCATTATTAAAGATAGGATAAGATAAGATAACTCTTTATTGTCATTGCACAGTCATACTTACAATAGTACAGTGAGACTGGAAAACTATCCCACGTCAGACACAACATAGTAAACTTTAAAGTGGATAAAAAGTAGAAAAATGGTATGAATAATAGATTAAATAAATATTTGCACATTATTGCCCCCAAAACAGTGCCAGTAGGTAGACAATTAGGTCAGCTGTTAGCATTGATTAGGCTATTGCCCTGTTCAGATGCACTGTTTCATTGTCTAGATAACCACTGAGGATGTGCATGTTTTTCTAGACAAGCGATGACACTTTTCAACATGAAATCTTTTTTTCTTAATATCAGAGAGCAGTTAGAGTTGGGAAATGTAGACGACATCTAGCAGATGTATAAGTTAATTAAAATTATTTGTCTGTTTGGGCCTAATTGTCATGAAACAGCTGTGTGGCAGACAGAATGCAGACTCAGATGCAGTACTGGGGAGATGTGAATGAACAAAATAAAATCAACTTTAATGTTGTAGCTTACAAGAATACACAAGAACTAAAAATCACAAATTCCTTCCTAAAAACCAAAAAGAAATCATGAACCAACAAAACTCATAATTCTGGATGAGAGACATATGGACATAGACAGACACAGACAACAACATGGCAACATGGCACTGATGTTGTTAATAGAAAATGATGCAAGATTATCTGATATTTTACATTTCTTTCAGTCCCCAGTGTTGGACTTTGGTAAGATAATCATCTATACCAGCAATCTGCGCATTATCAAAGCACCGCAGAAGAAGCCTGAAATGTTTCGGCAGCACACAGTGCCTCTCATTGACTTGGAAGGATACCCAAAGGCCAGGGAAAGGGGGAGCAGGAGGAGGGCTAAAGCAGTTTTCACACAGGAGGAGGCGGAGAAGGAGGAGAAACAGATCTGCGACACTGATACCAAGGTAATGATCCTTGGTCAAATTATTCTCAGTGGTGTGGTAAGGTTTTATCACCCCATTTCTGTTTCTTGCTTTTCTCACTCTCGCCATGTCCTCCTCCCCATCCCACTTTCTCTGCATGTGTCTTCAGCCATCTTTTCTTCACTTTATCTTTGCTTTCAAGAAAACAACTGCAGGATCTTCTTCTGTTTCTGCCTCACACCAAAGTCTCCTCTGTGTTTCCTTGTAAATGCAAACTTGTTTGTATCCTTATTCGCTTTCTTTTCTACCTTCCTGCTGCAAAAGCCACCAACCTATTGTCCTGGTGTTATCTGACAACTGTGAACAAATACTGATGAGTCCACAGTTTTACTCTGCCCTTGCAGCATCTGCCTGCTGCTTACCAGCCAGCAAGGATACCCAGGTCGCTATTATTCCCTCCCTCTCACCTCCTTGGATGATTACTGTTCTCTTCTCCCTTATCCCTCCATCATTTTCTCAGCTCTCTTGTTATTTTCGCATTTTCTCCGCCTCCATACAAGTTCATTCTCAGCCTGTTTTTTGTTTTATATTTCGTCATCTCACTCCTGTTTGTTCCGTTCTCTTCTTCACCATCTTTAGCAGCGGCAATTCATTATATTCATTCTCTTCAGTCTTCCTTTTTTTCCAAGAAGAGCTTAGATTCACACTTGATTTTATACATGAAAATTTTCTGCAACTGTTGGACAGCAATCTGGACATCAACCTGATTGTGAAATAATAATAGCTGTATATACAAGCATCCTTATGTTTATCTTGGAGTCACCAAAACTATAAGTGAGAACATAAACCTTAATTGAAAGACAAACCTTACCTGCCCCTTTGCCTTGTGAATTTCAGCACCCTTTTATTTTTGTAGCTGCTTTCTGCTGGAAAATACCGTGTCCTTTTTTTATATGACTCTGTTGTATTGCACTCATATAGAAGCAAATAATGGGCCCTATTAAAGCAGCACCTTTAGAGGGTTTTTTGTTGTTGTTGACTTTTTTTTGTGTGTTTTAGACTTTTTTCTGGCTGACCCTTGCATACCAAGCTGTCTAGCTCTTCCTTTTACAACAATTTGGGACTCTAAATGAATATGTTTTTTTTTTTTAATTATCCTGTTTCAAATGTAACCTCACAGCTCAGCTTCTGTTTCTGTTCAGTCATCATTCGGTTGATAACATACAGAGCAGCTGCTCATTACTGTAAACTTTGCAGTAATGACCAACTGGGTATAATAAATGACAGACTGGCTGGACATTATCCTGCAGCACAGCTACTTACCACAGCCATTTAATTAGAAATATTATTGGAAAAATTCTTTGTATCATTAAGGTTTCTAGTGTTTTGCCAGCAGGCACGCCAGTTATACATGATAGTGGCGTTAATCTTTGCTGATTATGACGCGGCCTTTGGTGGCATTGTAAATGTTTGTGTGTTAAGTGGAAAACTGTGTTTTATTATCAGAAACAGATGTTTGTAATTCAAAAGCAACAAACCTCACATTTGCACACATTTTTCATACAGGCCTTCAGACATGAGGGGACATGAGCCTTTCCTTCAAACTTGACCGACTCCCCTTTTCAGCTCAATCTTTATCCCTGCATCCCCTCTCCTTTTCACCCCTTCCTCCCTTTGTGACCCCTTTGCTCACCTCACAGGACCCCTCTTCCATCTCCTAATGTGTTTTTTCTGTCTCCAGGAGGCTGACAGCTGCCAGCATTGTGGCGGTTCGGGCTCCGCTCCCTGCTCTCTGTGTCACGGTAGCAAGCTGTCCATGCTGGCGAACCGCTTCAATGAGTCCATCAGTGATCTGCGTTGCCAAGCCTGCTACCCCTATGGTCTGGAGAAGTGCCAGTCCTGCTCCAATAAATAGCACCATTTGGCTGACACCCATATCTGGCAGTGAGAGAGCGAGCGTGTGAGTGAGTGAATGAGAGTGTGTGGCTGACTGAGTGTAAGCCCAGTGTGCTACGGGTTTGTCAGAATTGTCTCAGTGGCAGTATTGCTCTAATCCAAAACGTTCTTGGTGGGGTGTTTCGGAGCACTACTAGGAAACATAAGCCATCATTGGACATTGGAGAGGGGGATTGTGACTGTGGGCACAAAATCATAAAATACAATTACTGTGTGCAGTGAACATGGCTTGCGATAACACAAATACATAATCGCTTTTTTTTGTTGTCACGTTATTTAGCATCTGCTGCCTTCATCCTGATAAAACCTGGTTCCACAACAGAGTTATCATTTTAATTAAAATGATGCAAACATTTCACAGTTTATTGTGTCTACTGGGAAGGTTTCCCTGTTCATAGCTCCCCTGTCTATTCACCAGAGACACTGAAACCTTTTTCACTTGAACATAATGGGTTGTACCGGGATAATTGATGCTATTATTTTTTAGAAAAATACAGAGAGGAATGAGACAAATGGGACTGTTTGATAAACGGCGACAGCAATAATCAGGAGACGATGTTTAATGTGAGTTCCCCCCAAATAACGGTGTTACTGCAACACAGACGTGCGTGTCGACCAGAGCTTTTCTCGTTGGTGGGGGGGTAAATATGCAAACTTTTTAAACCACTTTTCGTCTCAACAGATAATAAATGTTTGACATTCTCAGTATTGATTTCAGATGGTGTGTTAATAATAAAAAGTCTAAGAGGTGTTATGGATGAAAATATGAATGAAAATAATGATTTAAATGACAGAAATGATTTATTGTAGATCAGCTCAGGAGATTGGGATTGTTTTGTAACATTTTTAGATCATTTAAAGATATATCTACACATTTTTGGGGGGTGAATTAATTAAATAAAAATACCTGAATACCTTTTCAATGTTTTTTTTTATTTTATTTTATTCATTATTGTTTTAAAGTTTAGCTTTTGATGCAAAAAGGATTGTTGTATGGATCAGATTACTGATTTTTTAAAATCTTCCTCTGTATAATCCACATCCCAGGGTGTCCATGGAGACGTGCTTTTATGGCAACATTTCAGATCTTATCTATTAAAACAGTGACGCTTGCAGTGAGCATATGTTTTATTGACTTTATTCCTAAAAGCCTTATGCGTCACTCTCTGTCTCCAATCATACATGTTTGATTACCTAAAAGTCTTTCCTCAGATGGCTGTTTTTACTGTGAGTTAGTTGTTTATTGTTACAAATGTGAAAAATAGGAAACATGCAACACGCCACATAATCCCCAGTCTCTGCATCGTATCCATTGCACCTCAAATCAAAGGCAATCAACCATATTACTTTCTATCATGACATTTGAGGATGATTTAACAGAAAAGGAAAACAAAATTAAATCTTTTTGCCTCACTGGGAAAGGCTTTTAATAGCTCTGACACTGCTGTTGTCAGCTTTGAGTGATCACCTTCATGCATTTGGTTTTTGCAAGGTTACATCAACTCATCGCAAGCGCTAATAAAATCTACCCATCAGGTTTTTTCAAGTCTTTAAAGTTTAACTTTAAAGTCCAAAATCAGAGGATTTCTCATGTCTGTGCATTTGACTATAGTTTGCAGTTCAAAACAGCAGGCTCCCCTTAGTATGCCTTTATAATCAAATCTGAACTGCAATGATCCCCAGGACATTTTCCAGTGGCTGCTGAAGTAGCATTTTTCACCACTACCTTTATTTGGCAAGGCAGAGATGATCAATCAAATTCTTTTTCAATAGCACTGACCACATCTTCTGGGATGTCAGTGGCAAAAAGTCATGCCAGACAAGCACCATTAGAGCCCTCTATCCCTGCCTCTGCACCTATTTGTGCTTGGGCTTCAGCTATTTTATTCTGTTTAAAAGGAAACTATAAGGGTTAGCAGCAGCCTGGTCAAAAGCCCCATCAGCAATCCGATTCTGTCTTTTTCTGGGATGACCACGGTAGCCCAAATCCACACTCTTATTCTTTTTTCACTCTATATTCTCTCTTTTTTCTGTCTCACTCTCTTTCTCTGCTTAAAAAATCTGCCACCCATGCAGAAGTTAAAATTGTGTTTTTCCAACGTTGTCATTTTAGCGCTTCTCACTCAGTATTCCACGGGGTAAACCAAAGTGAGGGGAAACTAGGTCACTGCCACTGTTCTTGGCCTCCTCTATCCTGCAGGACCTACAGTGATAAGGGAGAAGGTAAAAACACTCAAGTGTAACACTAAATACTGTAAGTTTGTAGGACTCCAGAAAGGGGAATTGAGACAGATGATATTCACTGGGGAGTGGAAATCACACACTTTGTAAGTTCAAAAAGGGTAGCTGTGTGTACAAGTGTTACTTTTAATAAGTGCAGAAAAGTAAAGTAAAGTTCGGTAAAGAAAATGCCCTTGTACATTTGATTATATAACCCAGGATGTATTAGTGAGGTAATATCAACACATATCCAAAAAATGTCATGTTTATCAGGTCTTATTGCAGTACAACTAAGGAAACTATAAAAGAAAAATAAAAAATAAAAATTAGCACTTCTTATTGAGTCTTAGGCATAATTATTAAAAGATTTCTATGGGGATATAGATGAGCTGGATGCGTGCTCCAGCCAGTCACCGAAAATTAGTGATGACCTCCATGCACTGTAATTATGCATAGGTACCCAAAAACAGGAATACAGCCCATTAAGTCTGATAAATATCATCCCACTTCACCTGTCCCAATCACTCAAATTACTGGCATCACTGAGCGCAGGAAATCGAAGTGTGTAAAAAATTATTTTTAGTGAAACAATCATAATTGTATGATTGAGTCTGATTAGGTTTGGGAGCTAATTCAATTCATGTACTCATAGACTGAATCACAGTGTTTTGTCTGTGATGCCTCATCACTACAGACTTTATGAAAAATAGGAGCAACTTCTGGGTCTGAAAAAAGGACACTGATGCTGACTAGGGATGGGTACCGGTATCTGGCACCGGTTCTGACATAAACGGTAGTAACCAGACCGAAAAGCAGCGCACATTTCGGTGCTTTATTTCGGTGCTTTTTTTTCCTGAGATGTGATACACTTCAGATTCTAGCCAATCATTTTACGTTTGTTAACGTAAAAGATAAAATTGTTATCTTTTTACAAAAAAAAGCTAAACATGACAGGTTTTTGGACAAAGTTTGTGTTCTCCATTCTTTAAGCACCGGTTCGAGCACCGGCACCGTTTCAAAAGTACCAGTTTGGTACCGGTATCGGATAAAACCTAATCGATACCCATTCCTAATGCTGACGTGACCTAACATACATTCTTCTTAATGGCCAGCAGGGAGCATCCTCACTGGCTGCCAATGGATGTCGGGTTATGCAGAACCCTCAGTAAACACTTTATGAATTTATTTTACTTTATTTTTCTAATTTAGCTTTTATTAAATCAAAATAATAGGACTCATTATTAAACATCTCTGGGCTGGTAAAGACAAAAAAGAAATCTTGGTTAGACTAGTAAAAATTAACCCAGTAAGACAGGAAATGAAAGCATGACTAACCGAAACATTAGAAGCAAATATAAACAAACGGGGGGGGAGGGAGGCCTGGGAAGCAGCTGAGATACTGGGAACGTGGTCCTACAACATAAAAAAACTGGAGTCAAAACTATAAAAACATCAAAACCACTGCAATCTGAGATAGTGTCCTGTCTTCCCACGGCAGCTAGCAAACAATGGTTTTTAAATTGAGAAGAGCACAGTCCCCTCACTCCCCCACTAGTGGATTCAACATTTCTGGTGTTTCATAGATAAAAATATCTGTGATTTCCTAAAGCCCATAACACAAAGGAAACAAGCCGGGAGCAGCCTGTGGGCATTAATCATAAGCACTCATACAATAACGTGTTGGTGAAAACCCTAACTTTTTCTCTTTGCTTAGTACTGAGGAGTTTTCATATAATTAGATACTTTCTGGGAGAAAAAAGAAGAAATCTTCTAGATTTTAGATTTACCATCATAATGTCTTAGCAGTAGCTAAATATTAGAATATTATCTGGCTACAGCCTCATTTTATTAGATCACAGCAGCAGAATAGTGATTGTGTAGTGATTAGAGAGAAGCTGATTAGAGAAGCTGTTGTGGCTTTAAACCTTCATCACAGCAAGTATGTACTCTGTCAGGCGAAATGCTACTCCAACCCACTCGCCCTGGCTTCAGCGTCTATTAGCTGTTCCCAACCTCTGACCTCTCTGCAGGGAGAGTAACAATCACATTTTCCTTTAAATTACAAAAAGTAGCCAAATACAATTAACATTTAACAACACAAAAATTAGTGATTATAAATCAAAGAAATAAACAAGTAAAAATTACCATCAGCAATAAGTATGATCATAGTCATATTTCTAGCAACGTACAATAAAATTAAATCTATCTGGAAATATCTGATGCTACAACCATCTCAATTTAATCTGTTTCTTCGTATAAAAACCAATTTCGGCGAGTTTTTGGCAGCTGCAGTCTCAGATTTCTTTCCTTGGCTGACATGTGTGTAACCCAAAGTGAACTTCCACTTCTCTTGAAGCTCCATCTGCCTCAAGGATGTGTTGTGAATGCTGAGATGCTTTTCTGCTCACAACATTTATAAGGCGATGTTATCTGAGTTACCGTAGCTTTTCTTTAAGCTTCAGCCAGCCTTGCCATTCTCCTCTGGCCTCTCTCATCAACAAAGTGTTTCTTTCTTTCTTTTTTCAAACCTTTCTGAGTAAACCTTGTGGACTGTTAAAAATCCAAAAAATAAAGCATCAAAGAAGAGTGTCACGCATTTTTTATCCAACATTAATGTCACGGTAAGTCACTGTTAACGTTTAATCCAAATACATTCATTTTGGTTCCATCTGACCAAAGCATGGGAGTGTGGGGCGATCGAGAGTTGGGCGTTCATCTTGTAATTGGAAGGTTGCCGGTTTGAGCCCAGGCTCCGACAGTCTCGGTCGTTGTGTCCTTGGGCAAGACACTTCACCTGTTGCCTACTGGTGGTGGTCAGAGGGCCCGTTGGCGCCAGTGTCCGGCAGCCTCGCCTCTGTCAGTGCGCCCCAGGGTGGCTGTGGCTACATTGTAGCTTGCCATTACCAGTGTGTGAATGGGTGGATGACAGAAAGTGTAAAGTGCTTTGGGGTCCTTAGGACCAAGTAAAGCGCTATATAAATACAGACCATTTACCATTCAACAGGGTTCTATCCCCTTCTGTGAGCAATGGTCTTTTTCTTGCACACCATCAAAACAGGATGACTTCATGCAATGCTCTTTGCACTGTCTGGGAACACCAGCATCCATGGATAATTCTTGCATCAAGTCAGAATCCCGTAGTTGTTTGTCTTTAGTGCTAGATCATGTAAATATATAACTATATATAAATGTATTCCTGTGTGTCCTGCTGCAACTTAGTTTCAGTTTATGTGCAGTAGTCTACAGCAAATAAGAAAAATAAAAATCTGTTTGTACAATTCCATCAAATGTCCAACACCCAAAGCCCTCTTTCGGTACTGCCTAAGGGTGAGAGTGCAGCTAAAACCCGAATTTATAAATCAGTCCCATAAAAATTTGTGTCATGTGATTTCCCCCTGCCTTATCAGCTGGCCAGGCCTATTGCCACCCAAAGCAGTCTATATGGAAACATCCTGAATACTAAAAGCTTTCTTAGACTGTGGTGTCAAAGAGACAGTAAACCTGTGACGAATCTTTCGAATTACATCCCTGGAGTCCACCTCCAAGTTTGTGGAAACTTCTAATGACTCTATCCATTCCCAGCATGCGCACCTGCTCATGCATGTGTGAGAGAGATCCAGAAAGTTAGAGAACAAATTAAAGTCTTTTTGTGGCTTTTCAACAACAGTTGAGCATGGCT